TGATTATCTGATGGATCCTCAGAATTAGAATTAATGATACAAACATTGCAGACCCAAAATCTAAACATTTTCTATCAAAATGTACGAGGCCTACGCACTAAAACAAGTGACCTATATACCAATGTTCTTAGTGAAGATTTTGATATAATCCTATTAACTGAAACATGGGTTATAGATGAAATCTCCAATGAAGAGCTTTTTGATAATCGCTACATAGTCTTCCGCAAAAATAGGGCCAGTGGCAAGACATTGTGGTGGAGTTATGTCAGATGAACAAATTTATTGTAGAAAGTATTAAAGTTAATTGTAATATAATTGTTGAGTGCTTGTTACTTAAGGTAAGGTTTAAACATACTCATTTTATACCTCCTGGTGTACGGTTAGATATTTATGAAGAACTTTTAGAACTTTATAACAGAGTATTGTCAGAAAATATTAATATTATCATATTTGGAGATTTTAATATTCCTGGATTTATTAACTTAAGTTGTGAAAACCGCAGCTTGCTTAAAGAATTCCAAAATCTAAACAATTTAAATCAATATAATACAATTTCAAATTGAAAAAATAAACTGCTTGATCTTATACTGTTAAACATATCCATAACGAATCTAACTAGGTCTGGGTCTCCTTTGGTACCTGAAGATCATTATCACCCGGCACTAGAAATGTTACTAGAATATAAAGATAATTCATACACTGAGAGTAATATACAACAGTCTTATAGGTATCATTATGTCAGGGGGGACTTTAATCTTCTGTATCAATTAATAAGGGACACTGACTGGTCAGATATGTATAATTGTATAACTGTTACAGATTGTATTAATCAATTTTACGATAAATTGGACTGCATTGATCAAGCCATACCAAAGAATATTATTAAAAATAGACAAAAACAGAAATATCCAGCTTATTTTAGTATAGACCTTATTAAAAAAATCAGACAAAAAAACAAATTAGGCAAACAGATAAAAATAAGGAAAGCTAGTGCTATCGATAACAATAAATTCAAGAGTCTTAGAAATACTATTAAAAAGCAAATCAAAAATGAATTTATGCAGCATCAAAATAATATTGAAGATAACATTTTACATGACCCAAATAGTTTTTGGACATTCATAAGAAGTAGGAGACAAACCAGCGGTTTTCCTCACGAGATGTCTTTAAATGATCATACATATACAGGCCCTCAGGATATTGCCATGGCTTTCTCTCATCATTTTAGCTCAATTTATCAGGTATCATCTACACATCACTGTAGTTCACAGGGATCTTTTAACTTTTTAGTTATTAGTGAAGAAGATGTGGAGGTTAGTATAAAAATTAATTAAAGCCAAAAAAAGCCACTGGTAGTGATAATATCCCTGCCTGTATCTTTAAAGGATGTTCTGATGTATTTCAAAAACCATTATTACATCTATTTAATCTATCTCTTAAAACTAACACCTTTCCAGATAAACTCAAAGAGGCTACCATTACTCCAGTTTTTAAATCAGGTAATAGAAATATTATAGAAGACTATTGTCCTATAAGTATCGGCTTAATTCCCTGGCTAAATTATTTGAATCTATTCTCTATATGAATATACTGAAAAATTTTGAAAATAAATTTGCTCCAGAACAACATGGTTTCTTGCTTTTTTTTCTTTATATTCGTTTCGATGATGTTCTTCCTTAGTTGTTATCCATTTATTTCAGCTGTGGAACATACAAATTAAACAAAAAACAAAATTTACAAGACCAGTAGAAATGTTCATAACTTATAGAGACTTGTCAAGTAACATAATGTTTAACAAAAGACGCTACTGTCGATAAAAAAACGAGGATTTTTAATTTATCTCAATGAAATGTCTTAATTCATGTTCGTTGTTGTTTATGTGCTACTCCCCGTTTGTTTGCACTTCTTGTGAAATATGTATATTTTCTATTTTAGCATTTTACTTACCTTTAAGTTTACCTATTGTCATTGCTTCATTTAGAAAATAGTTTAAATCGGAATTAAACATAAAATTACATTTATAACTCTATGAATAGAGTTATAAATGTAATGAAGTAATAAAATTCCATAATTTCATGGTTTGAGAAGTAAAATAAACATTAATGTGAGTCTTTTTTATTGCTATAGATTTTGGCCAGCTTTTCCCATGTAACTCATAAAACAGTATCCGGTAACTTATAAGCAATAACTACGCAAAAATCAGGCAATAGCCACTGTAAACATTAATTTTTCAATACATTCTCATAAATAAACATACACGTCCAGTTATTGGATACATTTTTAGAGCAAGGACAATAACGAGAATAAAAATAATGGAGAGAAAAACGTTTATTTTGTCTAGAGTTGAATAACTAAATCAAAAATTGAAACGCCCAGAAAAAAATCCGACACTAATAACAAATGTCTTATTGATACAATAAAAATTTATAAATCATCTCGTCTCAGATAATAAATTGGAACACCCACTAGAAAAATTACTTCGACAATCCTACGACAGGTTTGTTTGTTTTATTGAATGCCAGAGCCAGATATTTCACTGGCAGCTAGTTAGCATCAAGATGAATGCCAAAAAAATTGTGCATTAGTAATTGTTTTAAACTGAATGCATAAATTATATTTTTCGAGAAAATCGATATGTAGGTTAAAATTAGGTCTACTAATGTTAAGAATTCTATCAAAAGCGAATGAGGCGGCTCTCTAAGAACAATAATGTAAGGTTATTTGATGGTATGTAAGGTTAACAAAGAGAAACAAAAAACAGAACAATGTCAATAAATAGAGGAGTATCAGAGTCAATATGGTAACTTCAATGTCCATCGAAAGGTGAAGGAAGTGGTTGGAAAGTTCCGAAAACGCAACAGTGAAAAATAACAGATAATGAAGGCAATCTTGCCATATTCAAAGAGATAGAAAGAAAGTGTGAGAAGAGTACTTGGAGAAACTTTTTCAACCTTAGAACAATTTTTCGAACCCACCATTGAAGAAAATATAGGTCCTGAAATACTACCAGAAGAAAGAAGGGAGCCGTCAAACAAATGAGGGATGGAAAGGCACTGGGATTTGATGATATTTCCTGCAGAACTGCTGAAGGTATTAGATGCAGAACAAATAAAAATAATAACTGAAATCCGAATCTACACCTAATAATCTTTCCAATGGTATGGGATGTACAGGAATGGAACTGTTCCTGTCTATACTTTCGGAACCCTCCCCTTCTCCTCTGGGCATCGTGGGTAGTACGGGAGAAGTTTCGCTTGGAGTGAGCACTTTCTCCAAACGGCTCTGCAGCTCTAATACTTCCCTGCTATGACGATTTTCCAGATCAGCCAGCTGCTGTCTATGGCACTGCGAAACTGTATCAGCATGGACCTTAACGGTTTCTCAGTGTTTCTGCGTTTTCTGAAACGCTCTTCGCGTGTTTGGTGGACAAATCGACAAATTGTGTCTTTACTTCGTCACAATCTTTTTCCAGTTCTCTTATTCTGTTTAAACATTTTTTTATTTCTGTAGACAGTTTGGAATTTTCCTTTTCTAGACGCTCAACTTTTATCTTTGGAATATCATCCCATACCATTGGAAAGATTATTAGGTGCAGATTCGAATTAAGAGATCGAAAGGATTAAGAAAAAATAACTGAAATATTTAATAAAATATACAAAGTAGGAAAAATACCAGTAGAGTGGCTCAAATCGGAATTCGTACCATTGCCCAAAAATGAGGAGCAAAAGTTTATAAGACTATAGGATAATAAGCCTAATGAACCATTTGCCGAAGCTGTTTTTAAAAGTCATCCACAAAAAAATTTACCAAAAATGCGAGGAACAAATTGCGCCCAATCTGCTTGGATTAGTGAACGCCGCCGTTGGTATGAGGAAAGCTTTATTTAGCGTGCAGGTATGTAGAGATGTAAGCTGTGATGTTTTGCATGCCTAATTGACTACAAAAAGGTTTTCGATACAGTCAGGTATGAACAAATGATGCAAGTGCTAAAGAGGATAAGCATTGACGGAAGAGATCTAAAACTAATAGCTAACCAGTATTGGAATCAATCATTCTCCGAATAGATAGAGAATATACAGATCAGGTCAAAATCGGAAAAGGAGTGAGACAGGGGTGCAAAATTTCACCATTGATATTTCTTCTGTACTCGGAGCACATATTTGAAGAGGCTTAAAAAGATATTGATGAAAGCATCTCAATAAATGGAGTCAATCTCAATAACCTGCGGTATGCAGATGATACAATAGTGTTTTTCAATACCATAGAAAGGCTGCAAAACTTAATAAAAAAAATAACGGAAATAAGTAGAACATATATGGACTGGACATAAACACAGTGCTTCTGTACGGAGTAAAAACGTGGACATTGGAGGCGAAAACTCTATTAAAACTTCAAGCTTTTAAGCTATGGTTATACAGAAGGATTTTAAAGATACCATGTACAGACAAAGTCACATTAGTGAAGAAGTTAGGTGCTTTACGCGAACCATTATGGTGTAAATAATAAAAATGCAGGATTTTTATAGTCCCTATTATTAATTTTGATAGTACAATTTTTTGCATTCTTAACAACAACAGCAAAAAATCACTTACTTGAAAGAATAAAACAAAACACACCCACTGGTAATACTTGTACACTTTCTTCTCTTTATCGTCGTGTGTAGTCCTCACTCCTGGACTTCCCGGCAAATACATATTAGCATAAGGTTCCGGTTTACTGGGAACGACGGTGAAAGTCGAGTGGATCCAACAAAAGGTATTAAAAACGTCTTCTGGTATATCCTTCGTATGAATACAGTCTATCGGGTTACCCACGTATTGCCTAGTGGTTACTATTAGACTACAGGCGATGAGAATGCTGGTCGTTAGAGAATAGTGTAGCCTGAAAACGGGGGAGTCGGTGTGGATGTGGCTGACTCTGACGAGGACTTTGAGACCTCTAAAAATATCCAACATCTTGTGTCTCGGTCACCGAAATGTTTGATTTTGGTACTGTATCGGCTATCTTTTGATTACGATTCGGTGTGTGGTTGGGTGCTTTTTCGGCTTCACTCTCGACAAATTTTCAACAAGGATAGGTGACGTTGACATTTCGACGGCAGCCTGAAAATAAGTTCGTATTTAAACATTATTTAGAGGAAAATGAACGATTTTTTATAGCACTATGAAAATAATAGCAATATTTCGAAAATGACATAAGGAAAACCTCATTCAAGGACAATCAGTTAATTATAAGATCCACGTAAGTTTACTACATTTTTAAATTGTGTTGAAAAACTTTATGATGAAAGGAAATTCAGTCCCCATTTTTTTGCAGCGAGAAAGTGAGGGGAAACAACCTCCTAGTTACTACCCTAATTAAAATTAGTCGTTGGTCTTATTCAGCCTTCTTTATTTATGTTTTATTAATACATTCTAGAAGTTTCCTCAACAATCCTCATAGATTCTGATATAGTATTCCAACTTTATAACAACGATGACAAAAATCCTTCTTATCTCAAAATTACACGATATTATTTGTTTAAATCACTTTAAAACAGCTCATTTTACCAGTACTACAAATATCTATTATAGATCCACCTACTGTTCGTACTAATAATTCAATTAGCTGATTTAAAGAAGGTGGTACTTCTTATCTACTAATTATATTGACCAGGACTGCCTACAATATCATTGATTCGTCACTTACAAGTATAAATACCGACTACTGTGATTCAGCACCAATTAGTGAGGATACAAATAATTTTAAGGTTGTTTTTGTGGTAGTTTTATTCAAATTTAAAATGAAGGTAGCTTGTATTGCATGTTTTAAGTCAAAAATTGATCTTTTAAAGATAATAAACGAATTATAACTTCTTGTATATTGTTTTTACTTTTATTGTATTGCATCAACCCTTTGTGTAATATCTGTGTGTAAGTTTGTACTCAAAAATGAGTAAAGGATTGGTTGGAGAAAATTCTGGACACGAATTAAAAGACTATGAGGTGATCGAAAAGAAAGAAATAAGAGCAATAAGGGACAGCCAAAACCAACTAAAGGCTGAAAAAGGCAAAGTGCTAAAAATATGGATAAAATTATATCAAGAGAAATTTGCGAAAGTGTGGAAACTACACTTCGAATTCGAAAGGTAAGCACATTCGAAGATTTGTGTACAGTGTTAATAATTGACAAAAAATGGATGCTGAAATAGCCAAAAGGGGAAATAAAGCAACTAAGGTATATTATGTCCTAATCAAAACTTTACTAGGATATAAAGAAATTTAAGTAGAAGTAAAAAAGAAAAGTCACAATATTATAACAATACCAATAATGCTTGTAAAAACTGAAAATTACCAAATACAAATAAATAATTGAAAGCATATTAGGAAAATAGCAGGCAAGATCAAGTGGGGCAGAGTGAGAAAAAAGAAGTAAGACATAGCATTGGTCCAAAAACAATATTGACAAAAAACGAAGAGAAACACATGAATTGGTTTGGTGAAGTGGTTAGAATTGATCAAACTCAAGAGAATACTGAAAATAGGAAAGTCAATGAAAAGAATAAGAAACGGACCAAGAAAGAAATGGCCGAACCAAACAGAGAGGGAAAGGGAGGAAAACAATTAAGTATTGAAGGAATTAGCAAAGAATAAAAGAGAGTGGAAAAAATGGATAAATGATTAAACCAGAATCATACTCTGATACTTAAAAAGGTATGACAAGTGGGAGAAGAAGGCGATAGTGTTTTCTTTACATAAATGCTCATAGAGCTCGTACTTTTGTATATTTATAATTTATATCTTCCTTCATAGATTGTTTTTCTAATGATTTAATTGTCTCTTTTATAGAGATAGTACCTACTTGTAGCAAATATGCTCTAAATATTTCTTCTTACCTCAGTGATATTAAATTTGTTGTTTTCTTCGTAAATTGTATATCTGAACTATCAATTTTGTTCTTTCTAGATAAAAATTGGAACTAAATACTTTTTATTATAATTCTTTTCTCGCTTTTGTTTAAGTCTGCTAATAATCTTCTTCTTCTGACACCAATTGTAACGTTTTCTTATGACCAGTTTTTAAAGTAATCTGGTTACAAAAATGTTCTCATTAATTTTTGGGGCAAAAATGAATTGTTACAAAAAATTCCCAAATTTTCTACTTAATAACTATTTTAGGAGTTGTTGTAAATATTGAAGTTGTTTAAGATATATTGGTAATGTTTTTGAGTCAAGAAAAGTAATTATAAAAATAATAGGTATAATTCAACAAATATGAACAGGTATTTATTTGATTTTCAAATAAAAAATTAATTTTCGGTAAAATGTATTATAGAAAGATATTATTTATCACCATAATACATAAATATTTAAGTAACCTCTCATTCCATAACCGTTTTTACTAATAATAATAAAAAAAAAGTAAAAGTTTGCAAAATAAATATTTTTTGTGTTAAAATATAAGCGTTTAAAGAAATTCCTTTCTACAAACAGAAATAACCCAAGCTATATCAAATAAGAATGACATCATCATCGTTGCCTTAGACTTAGAAACTGCCTTCGACACAATAAACAGAGCTGCTATTATTAGAAAACTTAAGCAACTTAATTTAACGGGTAATATTATCACCTTTATAAACAATTTCCTACAAAAAGATCATTCAAAGCAATTGCAAACGGGAAAACATCGACATCCCACATCTCACAAAATAGAGTCTCCCAAGGCTCAGTTTCTCGGCCCCACACTATTACTATTATATACAGAATACAAAAACTAACTGCCTAAATAGAATCAATATCTTAAAAACTCTAGCTCATCATCTATGGGGGGCAGAAGAGAAAGTCCTCTTAAAATTTACAAAACATTCATCCGCTCTTGGTTGGATTACGGAAGCATTCTGTACATATCGGCTTCCAATACCCACCTTAAAAGTCTGAATACAATTCACAACACTTCTTTACGCATTCGCCCTGGCGCCTTTAAATCAAGTCCTTCTGAAAGTCTTTATATCGAATCTTCAGAACCTCCACTTTTTATAAGACGGCAACGTCTACTTCTGTCTTACTTCTCTAGAATTTCTGCTAAGTCAAAAAAACCCAGTAATTAAACTAATTAATACTCCCCTCCCTGTCCCAGATAATAGTCACCCTCGAGTATATTCTCTCTCACAAATTTTAAAAACTTTGCTAAGACACAGACCTAAAACTCACAACTCCGTTTACTACGTCCAGAATTCCCCAATGGAACAATAAGCTACCTACTGTCTTTACCAGCTTGAATCGAACACAGAAAAGAAGAAACGCCCACAACTCCTTGGTACAAGCATATCTCCCCAGATGCAGTATTCACACAGCCGAACTGTATGGAGTACTCAAGACATTAGACTCGCCCATTGCTAATGAAAAATCATTAGCAATATGCACCGATTCTCTCTCCGCCATTGACTCAATCAGAAATGTATACTCCATACATCCTATTGTACAGTGCATCCATAGTATCTGCCAACAGAAGTAAAAAATGGTGTTTCAGTAACTATCATCTGGATACCATCCCATGTTGGAAAAAATTTAAATGAGAACGCTGATCATGCAGTAAAACTTGCATGGTCCTTAGAAAAATATGGAAAACATACAACTTCACCAAGACCTAAAGGCCAGTATTAATAACAACTTTCTAAGCACTTGAACAACACACCTTGAACGTACAAAATACAAAACTACACACAATTCAATCAACTGTTACCTCTATCATCATACCTCAAATTAGTAGAAAAGACCAATATTATCAGAAATCTGAGAATATGTCACACTAGTCTTACCCATGGATATCTGATGTCTTCTGAAAACCATCCTAGCTGTGAACATTGCAATGAGTCCTTAACAGTCCAGCACATATTACTAGAATGTGTCCACTACAAACCTCAAAAAGACTACTACAACTTTTAAAATACTTTAAGTGATCTACTCTACTTTACTAAGTACATAAAGATGTTGTTAATGTATCCTAACTTGTATATAAACAGATTGTATAGTATAAGTAAACATAAACATATTGTAATAAACTTTGTACCAGTGTCAATGGCCCATAGTTGCCGAGACACTTTAATTTAAAATAAAAAAAAAAAGAAATTCCTCGGTTTAATAAACAATTCATAAATTAACTAAATGTATTGTTGTAATATATACGACAAGGTACCCCCAAAAAACATATAACCAAATATGGCAATAAACCAAATATGACATTCCAAACAATGCCTGAAGACTGGACAAAATCCACAATAACGACCATACATAAAAAAGGCAGCTTCCATAAATGCGACCAATTATAGAACTATCTCTCTTATATCCCATGCAGCAAGATAATGCTACATATAATCAATGAGAGACTGAAAACATTCCTTCAAAGAGAAATTCCACAAGAGCAAACTGGATTTACCAAACGTAGAAGCACTCGAGAACACCTGCTGAATATAAGACAGATAATCGAGAAATCTAGGGAATTCAACATCCCACTATACATCTGTTTTATAGATTACCGTAAAGCGTTCGACAGGGTCAAGTGGAGACACTTATGGCGAATACTAAAAGAAGTAGGCGTACCACAATATCTAATTACGCTTATAACTGAACTATATGAACACACTACTGGATCAGTTTAAAGTACTTGACACATTTTCGAACGAGTTTCATCCAGCAACGGGTGTCAGACAAGGATGTATACTATCTCCACAATTATTCAACATATATGTTTGAAAGACAAAGACAAAGATCATGATAGTGGATAGACTACACAACAATCATCCACACATAACCACAATTGACCGGTTCGAGGTTTGTGAGCTCATACTTATATCTGGGATCTTAATCACAAACACAGGGTCATTACAAGAAGAGATTAAACGTAGATGTGATCTAGCAAAAGTTGCCACACACAAAAATGACCAAAATATGGAAGAACTGTCAAATTTCAAGAGAGATAAAGATGAGGTTGATCAACTGCTTAATATTCCCAATACTGACCTACGGATGTGAATCTTGGACTCTGAGACAATCGGAGAGAAGAAAGATAGACGCCACTGAAATGTTCTGTTGGAGACGAATGTTACGAATTCCTTGGACCGACCG